TGCAGACTGCCAGAAATAGTGCAAATTGAGTCCGCTTTTAGAGTTATGGAATCATGGGAACTGTAGTTTATTGTGGCACCAGAGCTCTCTGACAGAGAAGGCTCAATGTCTCAGAAAAAAAACAATTCCCATGATTCCCTAGCACTAACCCTAACCCTAAAAGCGGACTCAATTTGCACTATTTCTGGCAGTCTGCAACCCCTCTAAGAAATACCAAGGGTGAAGACTTAAAAACACATGCAAGTATGTGTCGATATACTAGGAAATGCACTTTATCCAGTATTTTTAAAAAATTAAACAGAACAGTATTACTAGTAACACTTATTTATGCAGTCTCAATTAGAAATGTATTTCTTTCTTGAGCAGAAGCACTGTATATTTAATCTAGAAGGACCACACATTAAGATTTATTTCTTAGAGGAACATATGGCCTCACATTAGGGAGGTTGCTAGTCACATAATCTGAAACATGGCAACGGGTTTTCTTTTGTGACATCCAACACAATTAACCTTAGAAAAATTTGAACAGAGATTCTTTTAAAATTTCAAGGCTATTTGTTATATTATTTACGGTATTGACACACACCCCCATAATGTTAGAACCAAGGCAGCAATTTCTAATATACGTGTTATTTCCATGGTTTCACTAAAATGCTTTATATAAAGACATTTAAACAGGGTGCTTCACTGTGCCACTTTTAAATTTTTATTCTTTGTAATGTATGCTTTAAATTGTTTTTAATGTTAATGATAGTTTCATTGTATTTTAATAACCCTCGATGTATTGTACATTTTAAAAAAGTTTAAACCACCCAGAGTTCCAGTTCTGTGGAAAAGGTGCGATACACATAAAGCACTCCCTAAACACTATAAAGGCACCAGATTCCGTCTGATCTTGCAAGCTAGGCAAGGTCATCCCTGGTTACTTCTTGGATGGGGGACCAATAACAAATACCAGGTACTGTAAGCTATATTTCAGAGGAAGGAATTGGCAAAACCACCTTTGCCTAAGAAAACCCTATGAAATTAATAGGGTAGCCATAAGTCAACAGGCAACTTGAGACACATATACACATACAAATAAATAAAGTAAATCCTCCTCCTTGAACTCCTGATGACTTACAACATCACTCAGGTTAGATTTTATGAGACCTATTTAACTTCAAGGACTATTAGTAATTATAATATGGATCCACTGTGAAGTTCTAATTCACAAGCAGAAGGGAGCCTGTTCTTACTGTAAATTTCATTTTTAAAAAAGGATAATTTGCAACATACGAATAAAAATAATTCATTTCTTACATAGTATCTTGAAGGTTAAGTGTAAGCTTCCTTCTTGGATCAGAATCAGATTCACCACTGCAGGAAGATGTTAATGGAGCAGACAATCGCCTTTCCATATAAGAAGCTTGATCACAAAGTCTGCAGAAAGAGAAACAATCTGATTATCTTGTATTTTTTTGGGGGGGGGGACATTCAGTGGAAATACACAGCATTACAATCTATTGTAAGACTACTACTGAAAATTGTATTGTATTGTACTGTAAGACTACTACTGAAAATTGAAGGCCAAGATCCTTTTGAAATCCCTGCTGGTATAGTAACATGGGCCTGCAACTGCTTGTTTCTGAATATGTAGTGACCCCCATTCAGAACACCAAGGACTTCCACAGACCTTTTATCTTGTTACAAACCACTCTACACTAATTGTCTCTTACACACATCATTTGATTTAACAAAATGATCTCCATGGTTTTCAACTGTAGATTTGTTGTAATTTGTAATAAAAAGATGGTGAAAAGTCCTCACCCTCCAAACTTGGTCTTGTACTGTGTGTTAAAACACTGGAAGCTTTAACAGTAACAGTAGCTAATTGGCAAGTTGATGATGAATTCATCTTTCTCTGACAGAATAGTTCCCCGTTCCCCCACTACACAAAAATCTGCCCCAGAGAATGCTCTGGAGCTGACTGGGTAGGAAGAGAAACAGGATGTCAACCTTAGTTATCTGCACTGCAGGTCTCTGTCGAACATTTAAGAATTGGGCAAAGTTCTTAACATTTATTTATTTACTTTATTTATATGCCACCTTTCTCCCAGGACAGGGACCCAAGGCAGCTTCCAGAACAAATAAAAAATATTTACAAAAAAAGTTTTAAAAACAATTTAAAAGCCCCACATTAAAACACTATAAAACCATTTAAAAATCATACAAAAGTTAAAAACAGATAAAACATACATTTCAATGAGAACCTTCCCTGTTTAACTATAAAAAGCTTGCTTAACATGGTAATGTATTCACTCACTGACTTCCAGTTTCACAAATTTCTCCAAGTTTCTATTTGATGACAAGAGAGATGCAAGATAGAAAACTTATTCAAATAGAAACCCTTTCAAATTCCTCTACATATAAACTATGCTACATTTGAGAGAATGTTAACAGTAAATTTCAACACAAGTCACTATCTTTATTCTGTCTAGAGAAAAATCTTCTGCAGAACAATCGGAAGGAAATTCAGCTTCCTAATATCTAAATTTAATTTCTATATTGAATCATACAATGATTTATGAAGTGGAAAGTCATGCCTGGGGGGAAAAATCCACATTTAGAAACAAAAGGAATGGACAGTTCTTCAGTGAGCACATTCTTCCTTATTGTCTCATTTCTATTTTTAGTTGTAACAGATGTCTTACCTGTCATGAGGATCAGTTTTCTGCCTGGCTTCAGTTGAAGCAGCAACTGGTAAACCAAGATTTGATGAAATTGTGATATTATCCAGAATTTCACTAGTGTGACCAGTTGGTGAATGGTCCAAAATGCTTGGTAATGTCTCATCCACAATGTATCTTAGGTCTTCCATAATACTGTTCTTTCATAACTGTTCAAAAGCTTTAATAAAGTGTTAAGCACAGCCAGCAAGAAAATGCTCCTAAAGTTCAGTAACAGTACCATGTATCTTATTTCTATTAACCAATATTTGAGGATTTCTTGGGTAATGCACGTTTCTGGCAGAGGCAGTTTTATCAGGGTTCAATAATCAAGAAAAAAAAACCAAGTTACAGTTTGACTTTATTCTTTTCATCACAGTACTTCCACTCCTTTCTCAAAGACAAACACAGAAGGCTGCTTACTGATTGTCTTTCACAATAAGGCCTAGAAATTCCAAAAACAAAGGAAGACATATTTAAAAGACTTGAAACAAATATCTCAAGTTCTTTGAAAAGAAAATACAGTGGAACAAAATGAAGCTACCAGTAGAAAAAAATTAAACTTATTAAAGAGTTACATTATTTGCAAAATAATAATAATAATAATAATAATAATACTAAATTTAGCTAGTATTAAAGATGAAGCACAAATAAAACACCCCACAAACATATATTCTTTACAGAAAAAGAACTACAACGCAAGCTCTAAATTTAACTTTTAAAGCCAACTGGATTTTTTGCTTCTAAAAGGCTCACACAAATGAAGGGAGCTGAGGGGAGAAGAAAACTTGCTATCTTTTTTGGTATCTGACTTACCTAGAAAAAGTTAAACCTGTGAAACTACTGAAAATGACCATCCACTTCTTGTGTACAGCCCAACTTTGCAATTAAAAAAGTTTTAATTAGCTCCAAAGATGTATGTTCACACAAGTACAGGACTCACTTAAGTTCTTTGAAAAATATAAAGCAGAAAATATCTCTATAGCACTAACTGCCTCTATTAAACTCTCAGAGATTCATTTTAAAGCCCTTTTTACTACAGCTATCAAAAAATCAGTAATCCCCACTTCTGGCTCAAAACATTCCTCTCTGTGAATACAAACTCCCCTGCTCAGATAGGAACAGTACCTTGCTCACAACCTGCCAACCCCATGGTCAGCTTCCCAACTGTAAGAGGCTGAATCATACTGGCAGCCTCAATTAGAGTAGACTTATTGAATGTGATTGTAAATGCTGAATCAACATTTACATAAAACCCACTGATTAGATGGATTACTCTAGCAAGGAGGGATTACCAAGAGGATTCAGACCCAAAGAGTCAGGTTGTCCTAGAGAGCTTTGGTGCAACACTCTTCACGCTGAATGCCATCAAAAACAGCACTGGATTTCAATGTATGAGGTTATGATGCTGAGCACCTACTCAATTTTATTCATATTATTAGTCTCTCAGAAAGGATATTAGAGGTTGAGTACCCCTTATCCAGAACTCTGAAATGTACCAAAAACCAAAACTTTTTTCATGGGTGGCTAAGACAGTGACACCTTTGTTTTCTGATGGTTCATTGTACACAAAGCTTTGTTTCAGGTACAAAATGCTTTTAAAACTGTAATATTACCTTTGGGCTATGTGTAGTGGTTTGAGGGTTGGACTATGAAACAACTTGAAGGCACGTAACAACAACGTGCATAGGGTGTATATGAAACATAAATGAACTTTGCTCTTTAGAATGGATCCCATCTCCAAGGTATCTTATTATGTACATGTATGTAAATACAGGTATTCCAAAATAAATAAATAATCCAAAAATTCAAAACACTTCTGCTCCTAAGCGTTATTGGTTTTTATAACAACAGAAGATGACACAGGGCTATTAAGGCTCTCTCAGGCAGCAGAAAGCTGGGTTGATCCTGCCTCCATTCCAACCCAAGTGTTCATAATTCCAGCAGACACAGGAACAGGATGCAGATTCCCTGCATTTCCCACTAGAGGAGAGTGTGGTGTGAGAAATAGCAGTTTTTTGCACTTGAGCAGGGAATCCTTCAAATGGGCTCTCCTTCCTCTGTCTCTTCCCGCCCCAGAGAAGAGCCTGTCTCTTCCTCCTTGCAAAGCTAGCTGACCAAGGGTGCACCTGTGTATGTTGCATACCTTGAAGTCGATTCTGACTTATGGCAACCCTAAGGTGAAACTATCATGGGGTTTTCTTGGTTAGATTTGTTCAGAGAGGGTTTTCCATTGCCATCCTCTGAGGCTAAGAGAGTGGGACTTGCCCAAAATCACCCAATGGCTTTCCATGGCTGAACTGGGAATCGAATCCAGGTCTCCAGAGTCCTAGTCCAACACTCAAACCACTACACCAGACCGGCTCTCCTACTGTGGAAATAATGTGGTTTGACATCACTTTTTTCCTTTTAATTTTTATTGAACATTTAAAATATTATTCATCACACACTGTCACAAATATAAATAGTGTTTTTTTAAACATTCTGTAAGCATTCAATAAACATATAATTATTCCCTTCTATTCTAACTCTATTCTAACTAACATTACTTACTAATTAATCTTCCATTTGAGGGGACGCACTAAAACAAATGACAGTAGTTGGCCATAGGGAAACTGTACCTACCACCAAAGAGGCAAGGAGACTGGGGCTAAACACCAACTGAGCCCAGTCTCTGCCCCCAGCTGAGCCAAATAACAGAGCACTGCCAGAGGACCAGAAAGGAAGAAGAGGACCAGCCATCTCTGCCCTCCACCAACCATGGAGAAAGAAGGGAAGAAATTAAAGGAGGGAGGGGCTGGGAATGGACTAAAGGAGGGAGGACACAAGGGAAGGGAAGGAGGGAAACCCAGGGAGACACAAGGGGAGGGGTAGAAAAGCGAACAAACAACAAGAGGAATAATACAGGGAGACAAACAACTACTGGGCAGCAGCAGTAATGGTGGGTGTCACTGACAGGAGTGAATTGTAGTGACACAATAGCTAACATTGGTTGTCACTGCGCACAAGGAGGTGTAAGTGACCCTCCTTGTGTAACCTCATTACCTAGTAAACCCTATGATGAGACACCCCAAGTGAAACATAGGCAGGATCAGAGCATAAACAAAAAGGGCAGGAGGGAGAGATACACA